GTTACACCAAGAATTTTCACCTCGTCGTCACATTTTATATTGAATCTATTTAGGTTGAAGCCCATATTTTAAGTGCGTTTTTTTTTACCTATGGCAATTGAATGGAATTTTTCTGGGTTTGTCTGCATTTTGTTGAAGGAGAACCATGATATTAGGAAGTTACTCTAAGGGTTTAATTACTGATTCTAAAGTAGTACCTGATTTAGAGAGGGTGTTATCATCAGCATATATTTATATAATTCACAGTGTTTGACAAAAAGAAAGATGTCATTTATAAATACATAAATAATAAAGGGTCAAGTATAGATCCCTGAGGAACACAAGTTTATAGATATCTTGCATTTGACTGATACTCTGACCTATTTTTACACACTGTTTTCTTGTTGTAAGATAACTTTTTAGCAATTCAAGAGCAGATGGACTTAGGCCATATTTTTCCAATTTACAAAGAAGTAGATCATGTGGAAGACAGTCAAAAGCTTTACTGAGATCCATCAATATTGCTGCTAAGTATTTATCATTATCCAGTGCTTTTTCCAATCTTCCAAAATTTTAAGTAATCATGGTTGACTGACAGCCATAGCCTGATCGAAAAGCCGCAAGGAAATGGTAAAAAATATCATCAAAATATTTAGTAAGTTGATTTTCTATGATCTTCTATGGCTGATTCAAAATTTTTTAGATATAGCAGGTAAAAAACTAACGGGTCTATAATTACCCTTTTCAAGAACACTGTTTTTTTTAATGAGTGGGTGCCACTTGGGCAATTTTTAACGAGTCTGGAAAAATGAAAGTGGATAATGATAAATTTACAAGCTGTGTGATAGGTTTAATCACTACAGGTTTAGCAGCGTGTAAAATTTTTGGTGATATACCATCTATACCTGAGTTGCCTTTTTAACATTAATTTTACCATTTCTTTTAGAAACAAATGTTTCATTTATAGGCTGAAAAATAAGTTTATTTGATGTTGACCCATTTGAGTATTTGTATATATTATAGTTATATAACTTCTGTACTTGGGTGTTTGTCATTAACCTGTATGTTGTTGTCATCGATTTTTTTTTGCAACATTTACGAAAAAGTTATTAAAAATTTCAGATATTTCTTGTTGGTTTGTGATGATTTTGTTGTCTTCCTAGCTGTAGTATGGTTTCTTTTTGGCTGGTGCATCCTTTGTTTATTAGAAATGGCTTTACTGTTGGCCAGAAATCTTTAGACTTAGGACCACCTAGCTGTGCATCGTTCTAGGAAGTATTCTATTCTACCATATAGTGACCGCCTTCAACAAATTGAAGATTATGTCACAGGAGGAAACTTACAACAAGACATAGATTGATATATATACAATCTTTCAAAAATACAAAAAAAAATTAAAAAATGCTTTGTATAATAAAGTATGATGTAATAGTTGAGTTAATATTGATGCTTCGGATTGAAGATTTGAAAGAGTCTACTGAAGTGCAATTTACAATGTTGTCCGGTAGTTTGTTCCAGTCGGTAATAGTTCTTGGAAAATAGGATTCTTTTCTGTACTGTGTTTTGCAGGATGGAATTTTGGAAGCTGTTCGAATTTGAATATCTTGTTTGTCTTTTTTGTGGGATTAATTTATTATTTTTAGGTATTGCAACCTTTTCGTGTTCAATTTTATAAAGCATTACCAATCTTGAGTCTTTTCTTCTGTCAGAGAGGCTGCGCCATTCAAGATGTTGTAACATGTTACCAACGCTTGAGGTGTTTCTGTATTTGTTGGTAACAAGACGCGCAGCCCTCCTTTGAACTTTTTCAATGCTTTCTATGTCTTGTTGTAAGTATGGATCCCAAACAGAGCAAGCATACTCTAGTGATGGTCTTACTAGGGACTTATATGCTTGCTCTTTAATTGATGTTGAGCTTATGTTCAGATTCCTCCTTAGAAAGCCTAGGGTGCTATTAGCTTTCTTGCATATGTTGTTTATGTGCACATCCCATTTAAGGTTGGAACTGATGGTAACCCCCAGATATTTTGCTGTTGTTACATGTTCTAATGAGTGATTGTGTAATGTGTGGTTAAATTTGATTGGTTTTTTATTTCTGGTGACTGAAATTACATTACACTTATCTGGGTGGAATGCCATTTTCCACATAGTTTCCCACGATGCCAGTTTGTCAAGATCTTTTTGTAATGTGGATGCTTCGGAATTTGATTTTATTGCCAAATACACTATTGTGTCGTCTGCAAATAAACGTACTGTAGATGTAAGACCAGTTGGAATGTCGTTAATATAATACAGGAAGAGACTTGGTCAAAGAACTGACCCCTGTGGAACCCCTGACTCAACTGCAACATACTCAGATTTTCCCCCCTCTAGAACTACTGCCTGTTTACGATTGCTTAGAAAATTTTGTATCCAGTAGTTTAATTCCCCCTGTATCCCGTAATGGTGAAGCTTATTAGTTAGAAGAGAATGTGAAACTTTATCGAATGCTTTAGAAAAATCCATGACCAAAATATCTGTTTGTTTACCGTTTTACATGTTAAGTGAGACATCATCTATAAATTCAAGTAGTTGTGTTTCGCAGGATCGACCTCTGCGAAATCCATGCTGTAGGGGATATAAAATGTTGTGATTATCTGCATGTGTCATGATGTGTTTAACTATACTATGTGTTCTAAAAGTTTGCAACAAATACATGTGAGAGATATAGGGCGATAGTTTTCAGGTTATATTTTTGGCCTTTTTTGTATACAGGAGAGACATGGGCAGTTTTCCAGTCATCTGGAACAACACCTGTTTTAACTGACTTCTCAAAGATAATGGTAAGTATTGGTGCAATTTCATGTGAAAGTTCTTTTAAAAATCTTGGTTTAATTTCGTCTGGTCCTGCTGCTTTGTTAGGATTTAAGTTATGTAAAAGTTTTTGTATACCTTCTGTTTTTATGATTAATTTTGTTATGGGTGGAAAAAGAGTATTCTGTGGCATGTTACACTGTTTGACAAATTCTTTATGGGAGATATTTGATGCTGGTGTGAATACAGACTGGAATTGTGCGTTAAGTGCCCCAGCTTTTTGTAGTAGATCAGTTAAGAGTTTGCCATCTTGTTTAATTTCAGTAATACCACTATAATCAGTTTTTTTATGTTTAATAAAGGTCCAAAATTTTTTCATAGTGCCAAAATTTGTTCCATCTTGTGGTGGTAATATAATGCTTTCAATGTATTCCCAGTATGATTTTCGTATACATTTCTGTACCTGGTATTTAACCTCTTTGTATTTTTTAGTAAGAGATGCATTCCCGGATTTTTTTGATTTTTTATATAGTCTATCTCTTTTTCTAATGAGCCGTTTTGTTTCCATTGTGATCCATGGGTGACCGTCCTTTGTTTTTGCTGTTTTATGTGGGATGTGAACTTTCACTGCTTTTATTATTGTTGCTTTAAAACAGTTCCACATTTCATTTACACAAAGATGTTGCTGGTTTTCAAAGAGATGTTTATATGAAGTGTTTATTTCTTGTTTAATTGTGCTCCAATTTGCTTTTTTATATAATGGAATTATTCTAGGCTTTTGTTTAAGTTTTGATGAAGCTATTGCAAATTCAGCAAACACAATATCATGATCAGATAGGCCGGGAATAACTTCAACACGCTGTACTTGGTTTGGTTAGTTTGTAATTATCAGATCAAGAATATTGTCTTTACGTGTAGGGACATCAACAATTTGGGTGAGACATGTGTCGTCAAGTGAGTTGCCAAAGAAGTAATGAAGGTGTGGGTAATTAGTGTTTGGTTTTAGTGATCTGTTGTTCCAATCCCAACCAGGGAGATTAAAGTCTCCCCCTATAATAAGCGTGGAATTTTTTATTTGTGTGGCTTTTCTTATCATTAAGTCAAAGTTTTTGAGACTAGTTTCGTCAGATGTTTTTGGATTGTAGAAAGAGCTTAAGTACAATGTTTTCGAACCAACAATGTCTACTTTTGCCCAGACCATTTCTGTTTTGTCCGGGGGTGCAGGTTCATATACCTCAGAGCTAATAAGTTCTTTCTTTATAGCTATAAGAACACACCCCCTTCTTTGTCTGTTTCTGTCTTCTTTCTGTCATTTCTGTACAATTTGAAATTGTCAGGAAATATTTCGACATCTTTTATTTTTGGGTTTAGCCAAGTTTCTGTGCCAAATATTATGTCAGGCTTTGTGCTGTCAATGATGTTATTTACTAGGTGTTGCTTGTTTTTAATTGACTGAAAGTTGATATTAAGTACTCTCAAAGGCTTTTTTAAGGATGACACCCGAGTTTTTTTACGTATGGGTGTAGATGCATGAAGAGGCTTGATGTTTTGATTCTGATAATCTGGACTTGATTTAGAATTTGAGTGATTGATGTCACCAATATAAAGGCTTGCAAATGGATTCGGTGAGTCAAGACTATGTAGATCAAAAAGTACCGTGCTGTAGTTTGGTTTGTCACAGATAATGCAGTGCCAGTATCTGTTGATCGACTGTTTTTTAAGTTAAGTAACAAAATTTCTTTGAGTTTTGTATGCATCCCATGTCTTGCTGTTATTCATTTTTTTGAAATTTGTTATACAACATTTTCTTTTTTGCAGATTTTAACAGTTTATTCATGTATGGTATTTGTTTTGCTAGTATTTTTCTTTCTTTAAAGGGTGCATGTTTGTTTGCTGTATCAATAAACTTCTTGTTGAAGTTTTCATACTCAGTGTTTACATTATTATGTGGGTCAACATCCCAATTTAACTCATTCAAATCTGATAAAAAATTATTTACATTTTTAAAACTTCTACATTTATGATAAAACATAAATGTATTATATATAGCGACTGGCAATGATTTGTATTTACTATAAATCCTTGATAAAGATTAAACAAACTTTTTGTTGAAATCAGTCATTAATTTTGTTTGGGGACGACGGTTTGATTTTGGTTCGGAACGACCTGATGCTGTATTAATGAGTTATTCTCTGGGAAAACAATCTTACGAAAGCGTCTAAGGGGAAACAACTGCAACCAGGAAGTCATGGCGTCGATAAATATTGAACCGCTTCATTTAGAAAAGGGTAAATTACTATATACATGATATAAAAGCATATTTTGCGTTGATAAACATTGTAAAGAGCGATAAAGAAAAAAATCTTTTTAATTTTTTTTTTATGCAGCAACAGCGTGGCTTGGACCTTCCATGCCTTCTGTATACATACAAAAAAAAATAATGTTAATTCAGATCACTCAAAAGGGTAAATTACTATATACATGATATAAAAGCATATTTTGCGTTGATAAACATTGTAAAGAGCGATAAAGAAAAAAATCTTTTTAATTTTTTTTTTATGCAGCAACAGCGTGGCTTGGACCTTCCATGCCTTCTGTATACATACAAAAACAAATAATGTTAATTCAGATCACTCAAGTTGATTATAACTTGATACGACTTCTATAGTATATGTTTTTTTTTCCTATGCAGCAGCAGCGTGGCTTGGACATTCCATGCCTTCTGCGTACTTACATAAAAGAGTTAATTGATTTTATTAGAACCAGCAATCCTTTTGTATTAATTCTCCAAATTCAACTTTGAAAGATGTTTAGCGTATTTGGTTTTGTCCATAGACCATACGCATCCCAATGGCAATGTTACGATGATTGATCACCATGGGATAATTTGTTGACCATCTCATCGGTTCTAACTTCTGTTCCACTAATAGTGGCACTATCTACGGACAGCCGTTGAATACACATAGTTATTAGACCACTAGCATAACATATAGATTCCAATCGTCCAGAAAAATAGCAAATAAACATCTTCACCTTAATGCTTGCTGCGGAACAGTGGCTCTTACCAAGTCTTAGACTTAAGTCCTTATGATCATGATGATACATGTATTTTTTGACAATTTGCAGACCTTAAGTATAAGGACCTAAGAGCTACGGTACCAGGTATTGACTATTTGGTCCATTCGCTCCCGAATCAAATTCGCACCCCACACGTTCTCCCACTGGGTCCGTTCACACCCTATTTTTATTCAAATACCGGTTGAATTAGATGTTTTTTAGATTTATATATCAAAAATTTAAATATTTATATTTTCATGAATAAAAATTTGTTTATCATTTTAATGAATTATTTTTTATGTGATTAGAAGATTAATTAGTAATTGTGATTTATTGAAGATTAAGAATTTAAGTCTTAATTAGTATTTTCAAAGCTAATTTGGTAATATTGTTATGTGTTTGGTGTAAAGGAAATACCAGTAGATCATTAAGCTTGGTCATGTTGGTAGGAGTAAAAACAATGAAGATTTTGAATTAAAGAAAAAGGAAAGATAATTAATTTAAAAGCTTGTGACAAGTATAATAGCCGTTTGGAATCTTCTGTCTCTCTTTTACAAGTTTTAGAGACAAATAATAATAACTTAGTCTTTGGTCATCATGACAATATTCCTTTATTCATTGCGTAAAATTTAAAATAATTTTCACAAAAGAAAACCTGTTTACTTTTTTATAATGTCACTTTATTTTAAAACGATAAAAAAAAACTTATTTAATTTATTTTCATAACTATACACTGTCACTAACTAAAGCATGATAAAAACAATATTCAACACAAAATCTTTATACATTTGTAAAAGGGTGCGAACATGAAAGGGGGCAAACAAGAATGGGAGCGAACAAGATTTTGGGCAAACAGACCCGAATTCACGGTTCCACAGCTACCTTAATGTATGATCATGCACCACAATATATTTGTGGATGACATCCCTAACAAGGTTTCATGTCGTTCTGGACCAAAGTCAATCCATCCCAAGTGCTGAAGTGGTTCAGCCCTGTTGATTTGGCCCATATTTAAAGTTGATTTGGGTACAAGGTCAAGGACAATAGTCACTTATAGAAAAAGTCATAATGGCACCTGGTCAAATCGGCATCTACAAAATGTAGTCAAGCTGCACCTATGTAAAGTCAGTTCTGCACCTAGTATTATCTTTACTTTTCTCTTTCCTATTATCAGTCAAGGGTATAACTTAAACAAGTTATTACAAAAAATAAAAGGCATACTAGTACTGTTATTGTGGGAATTCTGACAGAGGTTACAATGTACATGTATCTCCTTCTGTCAACATGCCTGTCATGAATTGTGTTGAAATAACACGTGTTTGTTATTGTACAAAGAAACAATGTCTATAATAATGGATTTCAGTTAACACAGACATATTCGTTGGGTGAAAGACAAAACATTTTAGTGTGTAAATTCTTGTTTTTCTTTTGCAGACATCAACAGAGCAATTGACCTGCTGGATGCCTTACAGAAAAGTAAGTTCATGTAATTATAATGTTAACAAATTCTGATATTCTGGTCTTCTGCAATACAGTATAAAAAGTAGGCAGTTATATATTACAACCATGTAAACATTGACTACCCATGATTGACTGTCCCATATGTAGTAGCAGTTACACATTGTTACAATGTAAACATTGACTACCCGTGACTGACTGTCCCATGCAGTAACAGTTACACATGTTACAATGTAAACATTGAGTACCTGTGACTGACTGTCCCATGCAGTACCAGTTACACATGTTACAATGTAAACATTGACTACCCGTGACTGACTGTCCCATGCAGTACCAGTTACACATGTTACAATGTAAACATTGACTACCCATGACTGACTGTCCCATATGTAGTAGCAGTTACACATTGTTACAATGTAAACATTGACTACCCATGACTGACTGTCCCATGCAGTAACAGTTACACATGTTACAATGTAAACATTGACTAGCCGTGACTGACTATCCCATGCAGTACCAGTTACACATGTTACAATGTAAACATTGACTAGCCGTGACTGACTATCCCATGCAGTACCAGTTACACATGTTACAATGTAAACATTGACTACCCATGACTGACTGTCTCATGCAGTACCAGTTACACATGTTACAATGTAAACATTGACTACCCATGACTGACTGTCCCATGCAGTACCAGTTACACATGTTACAATGTAAACATTGACTACCCATGACTGACTGTCCCATGCAGTAACAGTTACACATGTTACAATGTAAACATTGACTACCCATGACTGACTGTCCCATATGTAGTAGCAGTTACACATTGTTACAATGTAAACATTGACTACCCGTGACTGACTGTCCCATGCAGTACCAGTTACACATGTTACAATGTAAACATTGACTACCCATGACTGACTGTCCCATGCAGTAACAGTTACACATGTTACAATGTAAACATTGACTACCCGTGACTGGCTGTCTCATGCAGTAACAGTTACACATGTTACAATGTAAACATTGACTACCCATGACTGACTGTCCCATGCAGTACCAGTTACACATGTATACAATGTAAACATTGACTACCCATGACTGACTGTCCCATGCAGTAACATTTACACATGTTACAATGTAAACATTGACTACCCATGACTGACTGTCCCATGCAGTAACATTTACACATGTTACAATGTAAACATTGACTACCCATGACTGACTGTCCCATGCAGTACCCGTTACACATGTATACAATGTAAACATTGACTACCCATGACTGACTGTCCCATGCAGTAACATTTACACATGTTACAATGTAAACATTGACTACCCATGACTGACTGTCCCATGCAGTAACAGTTACACATGTATACAATGTAAACATTGACTACCCATGACTGACTGTCCCATGCAGTAACATTTACACATGTTACAATGTAAACATTGACTAGCCATATACATTTGTATCTTCATTGTTACATTTACAATTATAACTATTTAGAGATGAATTATATATAATTAGCATGGTTAGGAGACTTAATCGTACAGGTGTTTTTCTGTAAATGATTTAAGGCCAAAAAAATAATACATGTGTTTCTGCTAACCCTACCTACCCTAATTTTTAGTGCCTACCCTAACACTTTTTATGCCATTTTGGAACAAGCACTGTTAAAGTCACAATGATTCCCTAGTAGTAACCAGCTAAAAAATGTTTGTAAAATAAAATGATATTGCCTACCTACCTACCTACCCTATTTTTTTTCAGCACGCTAGCGGAAACACATGTATTATTTTTTTTGGCCTAATCATGTTAATAGGATAAACTTCATTTATACATGTTATACAGTCTTCAAAACCTTCAATCCTAGGTTTATTATTTGAACAAGTTTCTTTTATGAAAAGAAATCATGGTTCAACAGATTGAAATAAATAATATGAGTTTAAGATATATCAATTTTAAAGAAATTTACGTGCATTCTATACATTTGTACTTCTTTCTACAGAATATTCAATTTGCTATATATTGGACAGTATATACAAGTTACTTATTTATTTTTCAATATTCATATGCAGTTCCACATGCTCTAATTGCTTGCAAAATTTCATAAAAATCAATGAGATTGCCCATTTACGTACTACCTGTTACCTTAAACATGGCATTTTTATTTACATATGTAAGTCTTGAGTGCAATTACATTATGCATATAATCATGATGATTGATAAGTACTTTATTTCAATAACAAAGGAAATTATTCAGTTGAATTAAAACTACATGACAGGTTCCTCTACAGTAGTTAGTTGCATTACAACACATTCTGACGGGTGGCTTTCTGAATGCGGTGATAATGTCTTTTTCTCTGTTCAATTTCTGTTCCAGATGGTCTAGTCCCTCAACAGAAGTTAGCTGTATTACAACATATTCTGCAGAGTGACTTTCTGAATGCTGTGGTGATAAGGTCCATAATGTTTTCCCTGCACAATTTCTGTTCCAGATGGTCTAGTCCCTCGACAGAAGTTAGCTGCACTACAACACATTCTGACGGGTGACTTTCTGAATGCTATGAAAGGTCTATAATATTTTCACCGTACAATTTCATGTTTTCTTTGGACCATGGTCTAGTCCCTCGACAGAAGTTAGCTGCACTACTAAAGATTCTCCAGAGTGACTTTCTAGATACTGTGATGATATAACCTATAATGTTTTTATTGTACAATTTCTGTTACAGGTGGTCAAGTCCCTCCACAAAAGTTAGCTGCACTACAAAAGATTCTCCAGAGTGACTTTCTGAATGCTGTCAGAGAGGTGTATGAACATATCTATGAAACTGTAGATATAACTGGAAATGATGAAGTCAGGGCCAATGCTACAGCTAAGGTAATACTGAGAAATAATTGGAGTTATCTCCCATAGACTGTTTTGAATCTAAACTTTGAGCTGCACTTTTTGTGTTTTTGTGAGTTTGAATATTGATAAAGAAAATACTATTCATTGTAAAATATTGAGATATAGGTTATATTTATCTTATTTTGCTCTTTTCGTTGAATTTTACCACATACATTGTACAGAAAATCAGCTATCAAAAGAGAATTTAATTGTTTTTAGGTCACAGTTGTTACAAGTGAAGAGACACCCATCTCAGGGTATTTATATTTTTTATTGATTGTTTTAAGGCCACAGTTGTTACCAGTGAGGAGACACCCATCTTAGGGTATTTATATTGACCACCGTCGTTCGTCCTTCCGTCTGTCCCGCTTCAGGTTAAAGTTTTTGGTCAAGGTAGTTTTTGATGAAGTTGAAGTCCAATCAACTTAAAACTTAGTACACATATGTTGTTACCAGTGAAGAGACAACTATCTCAGGGTATTTATATTTTTATTGATTGTTTTCAGGCCATCGTTGTTACCAGTGAAGAGACAACTATCTCAGGGTATTTATATTTTTATTGATTATTTCAGGCCACTGTTGTTACCAGTGAAGAGACACCCATCTCAAGGTATTTATATTTTTATTGATTGTTTTTAGGCCACCGTTGTTACCAGTGAAGTGACACCCATCTCAGGGTATTTATATTTTTATTGATTGTTTTTAGGCCATCGTTGTTACCAGTGAAGAGACAACTATCTCAGGGTATTTATATTTTTATTGATTGTTTTCAGGCCACCGTTGTTACCAGTGAAGAGACACCCATCTCAGGGTATTTATATTTTTATTGATTGTTTTTAGGCCACTGTTGTTACCAGTGAAGAGACACCCATCTCAGGGTATTTATATTTTTATTGATTGTTTTTAGGCCACTGTTGTTACCAGTGAAGAGACACCCATCTCAGGGTATTTATATTTTTATTGATTGTTTTTAGGCCACTGTTGTTACCAGTGAAGAGACACCCATCTCAGGGTATTTATATTTTTATCATGTTTATTGATTGTTTTTAGGCCACTGTTGTTACCAGTGAAGAGACACCCATCTCAGGGTATTTATATTTTTATCGATTGTTTTTAGGCCACTGTTGTTACCAGTGAAGAGACACCCATCTCAGGGTATTTATATTTTTATTGATTGTTTTTAGGCCACTGTTGTTACCAGTGAAGAGACACCCATCTCAGGGTATTTATATTTTTATTGATTGTTTTCAGGCCACTGTTGTTACCAGTGAAGAGACACCCATCTCAGGGTATTTATATTTTTATTGATTGTTTCAGGCCACCGTTGTTACCAGAGAAGAGACACCCATATCAGGGTATTTATATTTTTATTGATTGTTTTCAGGCCACCGTTGTTACCAGTGAAGAGACACCCATCTCAGGGTATTTATATTTTTATTGATTATTTCAGGCAACTGTTGTTACCAGTGAAGAGACACCCATCTCAGGGTATGAATTTTTTATATTGATCTTTTTCAGGCCACAGTTGCTGCCTTTGCTGCTAGTGAAGGACATGCCCACCCGAGGGTTGTTGAACTTCCTAAGACTGAGGAGGGATTAGGTTTCAATGTCATGGGGGGCAAGGAACAGAATTCACCCATATACATTTCACGTATCATCCAAGATGGCGTTGCTGACAGACATGGAGGACTTAAGAGAGGTGACCAGTTATTATCAGTGAATGGTATTAGTGTGGAGGGAGAACATCATGAAAGAGCTGTAGAATTATTAAAAGAAGCAAAGGGAGTTGTTCGTTTGGTAGTCAGATATACCCCTCGTGTTCTGGAGGAGATAGAAGCTAGATTTGATAAACAAAGAATGTCACACAGGAGACAGACCCCATAAAACTGTTGTCATTATCAAATTTATCATTTATACAAGACTTTTCATTAGGATCATACATGTACACAGTAACTGTATAAGTATCGGTACAATTTATTTCTTAACTGAACACTATTACTGGTAGACTGTTGTGTACTATAATATTTTATAAACAACAGAAGTATCTATTATTATTTCGGAGTATGAAATTGCCTTTAGTAACATGAGAAACTGATTGATTATTGTATTTGATAGACATAACACATCTAGAATGATAGAATTTGAGATTCCCTTATTTTGTCACTATTTTCACATTTCCCAACTGATTGTGAAAAAATTGTTCTCCTCACTAGTGAAATACTTGTTCTCGGCAAATGATTGGTAGAAATTTAATTATGACGTTAAATTTTCTTGATTTCTTCTGAATTCCCGATTGTGACGTCATGAAAAAAGGCGACCATGCCTGATGACGTCACATATAAAGAACACAACTTTCTGCAAATCTTTGAAAAGGAAGGATAAAAATCATTAGAGAAACAGATTCCACCACTATAACTCGTGTATTACGATATTTCTCCACTCTCAACAGTTAAATTTTAATATTTAAAGAGCTCGTCAAGCCTCGCGCTTGAAATATTAAAATTTAACTGTCTTGAGTGGAGAAATATCGTAACACACTTGTTGCAATGGTGGAATCTATATTCCTTTTTTATGTATCTTAAAATAAACTAAAATTTTTTTTTTTATTATGGATAGTTTATACATTTGTGAAATACCAGTAATATGGAATATGAATATTTGAAATTGTGAAATTTTCAACATATTTATAAACCATAAAACCTATTGTGAGAATTGTGTTTCCTGAATTAATACTTGTGAGAATTTGCAGGAAATAATTATTTAAACAGGCAAATCTATTTAATCTGAATGTTATAATTTGAAGGTTATACTTTTTCATGTTTTTAGAAGCCATGACTGATCAAATATATTGTAAACTTTCATCTCTTGGCTGATTTAATTTCAATCTGTATGTTAAGGGAGTCTCCCTGATCATGGTGATTAGTGTAAATTTGTACTTTAAGACTATTGATTGATTAGGTTAAAGGGAAAGAAGCAAATGAATCTGAATGTTATACTTTTTAGGGGGCATTAAAACTGAATCCTAAGGTTGTTTTATTTTAAAGGAGCCTTGCTAAATAATTTGAACCTTCCACTTTTTTGGAGTTGACAAATAGAATTATATTAAAGGTTGTATATTTTATTAGGCAAGGCAGACTGGTTTAAAAATGATAAATTTTATAAGCATTTTGACTGAGAGAAAATAGATATTTGCTGATTTTCTGTTTTTATATTAAGAGATTTTATCATGTTGTCAAAAGAACATTTATATACCATTATGTGTACATTTATATACCATTATGTGTACATTTAGGTAAATTTAGAAATACATTGTACATTAATGGGATGAAGATGTGTGCTTTTTTTTAAACCAGCTATTTTAAAAATTTAAATATAGAATAATGTTTCAGTTTGAACAAATGTTGGGTCATTCTATACCATCTGTATCTGCTACGCTTACACTGCTGTTACTTCTTATAGTTCTCTCATTTTCAACAAAATCTAGCAGCAGTTAAAAAGAATAGATTACTATGTGAAATTTTCTAGGATATCCACCCAGTAACGAGTTCAGACATGTCAGAAAGTTGTTATGTTTGAGTCTGCACCAAATGTGATAAACTGTTTAAGTAACTGTAAGTCTGAAAGGAGGAACATGAAAATCATCAGTTACTTAACCATATAACAAAGAATTTACATCAGTGTCCCCCTTCTCAGATCTTTCTTTATAGTGCCCATCTTTTACTTCTCTTTTTGACAATGTATTTCTGGATGAATGTTTGTTTTCAGATTATTTACAATTTATTATGTTGAAATTATATGGTGTATGTTTTACTAGAATTTAGGTTGTGATTATATGTAATAAATCTTTTACTAGTTTCTGCTTCTTGTTCCTTTGTTCAAAAATGTATATTGTTCATTAAATTGATAAACTTTGTGCATAAGCAGTAAAGACTTAACGTTTTTTTTTTATTTATAAGGAAAAGTTCAAACAAATTGTTTGTATATTTGTGAAGAAAGTTTAATTTTTATGCTGACCTCTAAATTCTTAAGGTGTTTTGGATAATTTATATGGACGGGTTCATGTTTAATGTCCAGTGGCAAATATTACATGCCTATAAGGATGAGAACGTGAATGTTATATGATAATGTCCCCTGAATTGTACTAGACCAACCTGCTGAGCAAACTTTTAAATGTGCCAGTTCACTAGGTAATAGTCTGCAGGAAGACTTGTCACCGTACCCAGTTCACTAGGTAATAGTCTGCAGGAAGACTTGTCACCGTACCCAGTTCACTAGGTAATAGTCTGCAGGAAGACTTGTCACCGTACCCAGTTCACTAGGTAATAGTCTGCAGGAAGACTTGTCACCGTACCCAGTTCACTAGGTAATAGTCTGCAGGAAGACTTGTCACCGTACCCAGTTCACTAGGTAATAGTCTGCAGGAAAACATGTCACCGTACCCAGTTCACTAGGTAATAGTCTGCAAGAAGACCTGTCACCGTACCCAGTTCACTAGGTTATAGTCTGCAGGAAGACTTGTCACCGTACCCAGTACACTAGGTTATAGTCTACAGGAATACATGTCACCGTACCCAGTTCACTAGGTAATAGTCTGCAGGAAGACATGTCACTGTAACCAGTACACTAGGTAATAGTCTGCAGGAAGACATGTCACCGTACCCAGTTCACTAGTTAATAGTCTGCAGGAAGACATGTCACCGTACCCAGTTCACTAGGTAATAGTCTGCAGGAAGACATGTCACCGTACCCAGTTCACTAGTTAATAGTCTGCAGGAAGACATGTCACCATACCCAGTTCACTAGGTTATAGTCTACAGGAATACATGTCACCGTACCCAGTTCACTAGGTAATAGTCTGCAGGAAGACATGTCACTGTAACCAGTACACTAGGTAATAGTCTGCAGGAAGACATGTCACCGTACCCAGTTCACTAGTTAATAGTCTGCAGGAAAACATGTCACCGTACCCAGTTCACTAGGTAATAGTCTGCAGGAAGACATGTCACCGTACCCAGTTCACTAGTTAATAGTCTGCAGGAAGACATGTCACCGTACCCAGTTCACTAGTTAATAGTCTGCAGGAAGACATGTCACCGTACCCAGTTCACTAGGTTATAGTCTACAGGAATACATGTCACAGTACCCAGTTCACTAGGTAATAGTCTGCAGGAAGACATGTCACCGTACCCAGTTCACTAGTTAATAGTCTGAAGGAAGACATGTCACCATACCCAGTTTACTAGGTTATAGTCTACAGGAATACATGTCACCGTACCCAGTTCACTAGGTAATAGTCTGCAGGAAGACATGTCACCATACCCAGTTCACTAGGTAATAGTCTACAGGAAGACATGTCACTGTAACCAGTACACTAGGTAATAGTCTGCAGGAAGACATGTCACTGTAACCAGTACACTAGGTAATAGTCTGCAGGAAAAAATGTCAATGTAACCAGTACACTAGTTAATAGTCTGCAGGAAGACATGTCACTGTAACCAGTACACTAGGTAATAGTCTGCAGGAAAACATGTCACCATACCCAGTTCACTAGGTAATAGTCTGCAGGAAGACATGTCACCACACCCAGTTCACTAGGTAATAGTCTACTGGAAGACATGTCACTGTAACCAGTACACTAGGTAATAGTCTACTGGAAGACATGTCACTGTAACCAGTACACTAGGTAATAGTCTACTGGAAGACATGTCACTGTAACCAGTACACTAGGTAATAGTCTACTGGAAGACATGTTACTGTAACCAGTACACTAGGTAATAGTCTACTGGAAGACATGTCACTGTAACCAGTACACTAGGTAATAGTCTGCAGGAAAACATGTCACCTTACCCAGTTCACTAGGTAATAGTCTACAGGAAGAAATGTCACCATACCAAGTTCACTAGGTAATAGTCTGCAGTAAGACATGTCACCATAACCAGTTCTCTAGATAATAGTCTGCAAAAATGAATCATCATGTTACCGTGTCCAGTTCACTTGATAATAGTCTGCAGGAAGACATGTCACCGTCCCCAGTCTCTAGGTAATAGTCTGCAGGAAGACATGTCACTGTACCCAGTCTAGGTAATAGTCTGCAGGAAGACATGTCACTGTAACCAGTACACTAGGTAATAGTCTACAGGCAGACATGTCACTGTAACCAGTACACTAGGTAATAGTCTGCAGGTAGACATGTCACTGTAACCAGTTCACAAGGTGATAGTCTGTAAGAAGACATGTCACTGTACCCAGTTCACGAGGTAATTGTGTGCAGGAAGAAATGTCAACGTAACCGGATCACTAGGTAAAAGTCGGCAGGCAGACATGTCACCGTACCCAATACACTTAGTAATAGACTGCAGGAAGACATGTCACTGTAGCCAGTTCACAAGGTAATAGTCTGTAAGAAGACATGTCACTGTACCCAGTTCTCTAGGTAATAGTCTGTAAGAAGACAAGTCACCGTACCTAGTCTCTAGGTAATAGTCTGCAGGAAGACGTGTCACTGTACCAAGTTCACTAAGTAATAGTATGCAGGAAGACATGTCACTGTAACCAGTACACTAGGTAATAGTCTACAGGCAGACATGTCACTGTAACCAGTACACTAGGTAATAGTCTGCAGGTAGACATGTCACTGTAACCAGTTCACAAGGTGATAGTCTGTAAGAAGACATGTCACTGTACCCAGTTCACGAGGTAATTGTGTGCAGGAAGAAATGTCAACGTAACCGGATCACTAGGTAAAAGTCGGCAGGCAGACATGTCACCGTACCCAATACACTTAGTAATAGACTGCAGGAAGACATGTCACTGTAGCCAGTTCACAAGGTAATAGTCTGTAAGAAGACATGTCACTGTACCCAGTTCACGAGGTAATTGTGTGCAGGAAGAAATGTCAACGTAACCGGATCACTAGGTAATAGTCTACAGGCAGACATGTCACTGTAACCAGTACACTAGGTAATAGTCTGCAGGTAGACATGTCACTGTAACCAGTACACTAGGTAATAGTCTGCAGGTAGACATGTCACTGTAACCAGTTCACAAGGTGATAGTCTGTAAGAAGACATGTCACTGTACCCAGTTCACGAGGTAATTGTGTGCAGGAAGAAATGTCAACGTAACCGGATCACTAGGTAAAAGTCGGCAGGCAGACATGTCACCGTACCCAATACACTTAGTAATAGACTGCAGGAAGACATGTCACTGTAGCCAGTTCACAAGGTAATAGTCTGTAAGAAGACATGTCACTGTACCCAGTTCACGAGGTAATTGTGTGCAGGAAGAAATGTCAACGTAACCGGATCACTAGGTAAAAGTCGGCAGGCAGACATGTCACCGTACCCAATACACTTAGTAATAGACTGCAGGAAGACATGTCACTGTAGCCAGTTCATTAAGTAATAGTATGCAGGAAGACATGTCACTGTAACCAGTACACTAGGTAATAGTCTACAGGCAGACATGTCACTGTAACCAGTACACTAGGTAATAGTCTGCAGGTACACATGTCACTGTAACCAGTTCACAAGGTGATAGTCTGTAAGAAGACATGTCACTGTACCCAGTTCACGAGGTAATTGTGTGCAGGAAGAAATGTCAACGTAACCGGATCACTAGGTAAATGTCGGCAGGCAGACATGTCACCGTACCCAGTACACTCAGTAATAGACTGCAAAAAGACATGTCACTGTAACCAGTTCACAAGGTAATAGTCTGTAAGAAGACGTGTCACTGTAACCAGTTCACAAGTTAATAGTCTGTAGGAAGACATGTTTCATACCCAGTTCACTAGGTTATAGTCTGCAGGCAGACATGTCACCGTACCCAGTACACTCAGTAATAGACTGCAGGAAGACATGTCACTGTAACCAGTTCACAAGGTAATAGGCTGTAAGAAGACATGTCACTGTAACCAGTTCACAAGGTAATAGTCTGTAAGAAGACATGTCACTGTACCCAGTTCTCTAGGTAATAGTCTGTAAGAAGACATGTCACCGTACCTAGTCTCTATGTAATAGTCTGCAGGAAGACGTGTCACTGTAACCAGTTCACAAGGTAATAGTCTGTAAGAAGACATGTCACTGTACCCAGTTCTCTAGGTAATAGTCTGTAAGAAGACATGTCACCGTACTTAGTCTCTATGTAATAGTCTGCAGGAAGACGTGTCACTGTACCCAGTTCACTAAGTAATAGTATGCAGGAAGACATGTCACGTCACTGTTACCAGTACACTAGGTAATAGTCTGCTCACCACTGTCACAGGTTAGGGAGGGTTGAGCGCTCACTACTGTCACAGGTTAGAGAGGGCTGAACACTCAATACTGTCACAGGTTAGAGAAGGTTGAGCGCTCACTACTGTCACAGGTTAGGGAGGGTTGAGCGCTCACCACTGTCATAGGTTAGGGAGGGTTGAGCGCTCACCACTGTCACAGGTTAGGGAGAGTTGAGCGCTCACCACTGTCGCAGGTTGGGGAGGGTTGAGCGCTCACAACTGTACTTGGTTAGGGGTTAGGAAGGGTTGAGCGCTCGATCACCACTGTCGCAGGTTGGGGAGGGTTGAGCGCTCACCACTGTCACAGGTTAGGGAGGGTTGAGCGCTCACCACTGTCACAGGATAGGGAGGGTTGAACGCTCACCACTGTCGCAGGTTGGGGAGGGTTGAGCGCTCACAACTGTCATAGGTTAGGGGTTAGGGAGGGTTGAGCGCTCGATCACCACTGTCGCAGGTTGGGGACGGTTGAGTGCTCACCACTGTCACAGGTTAGGGAGGGTTGAGCGCTCACTACTGTCACAGGATAGGGAGGGTTGAGCGCTCACTGCTGTCACAGGTTAGAGGTGTTTGAGCGCTCATT